GAAAAAAAAAAAAAAAAAAAAAAAGATATTTATTTTAAGTGAGAAACGCATTAACATATTATATATATATATTTTAAAATTTAATATTGAAGAAACCCTTTTATTCTTCTCTCTCTCTCTCCAACGGCCCCTTTATATACCCTTCCAATTCTCAATCAAAACCAAATTACTTCCCCATTTTTCTCTCTAAAAATCTCATTTCTTTTGTTACAGAACTGTTGAAAAAAATGGATCAAAATCTACAAGTGATTTCGAAGAGAATTGTGAACATGGTCCGTATAGCTTATTACATGCTGAGAAAAGGAATTTGTAAGAGCAAGCTTATGGCCGACCTCACAAATCTCATGTCCAGACGCCGCAAAATCACTGGCAAAGCCATCGCGAATCTCATGCTCCACCACCACCACGATGGCGCCGCCTCTGCCTTCTCCCTCGCCCCTTTTCGCCGTAACCACCACCCCGATGGCACCGCCGATCACTACGAGTTCAGCTGCCGCAACAGCCCTGCTTTTCCCAGCTTCCATTACTTTAACAAACGCCGTCATTTCTTCACGTGTACTCAGACACCCGACACGCTGGACGATGACGTGGGCGCGATGAATGCTTTCAAGACTGTTTTGGAAGTTCTGAACAATGACATGGGGTCCCCAGCGCTACCCGAGTTTGGGCGAAGCCCGATGGTGGTGAGGCAGCTGAGAGTTACTGACCCGCCGTGTCCGGTTGCGGGAGCTGCCGTGGAGGACAGCCACGTGGATAAAGCGGCTGAGGAATTTATAAATCGGTTTTATAAAAAGCTTCGGTTACAGAAGACGGGGGAGTAAAAGGGAAGTTTTGAAGATGAATTGTGAGGTGGCGTCGGACGGGTTGAAAATTTTAAGGGTGCTAAGTTTTGTCTAATCTTTGTGTTCATTAATATTGTCGTGGTTGGTGCCTGCATTTTCTGTACGTATTGTGCTTTGTGTGGCCATTTTTTTTTCTTTCTTTTTAAATACTTGTAATAATAATAATAATAATAATAATAATTCAAAGGAAGTCCATGTTGAGAATGAGAATCCAAATTTCAAGAAACAACAAAATTGAAGCTTCTCCATAGCTGCTATCAATCCTCCAAATGCAACCTCTGTCGTATATTAAAGTGAATCCATGCCACCACCTTGAAAAATATGGCTTCGGTAGGATTTCACGTCGGTTAGGAAAGTGAACAAAACATTTTTTTTTATAAGGATGTGAAAATTTTGCTAACAAACACAAGGGTGGTAGGAAAGTTATTAGGATGAATTTGTGTGTTTGATTATAATAATGGAATATAATGAAAGCATAGTTGTAATTATTAATAGGTATGGTTGGAAGCTAAAGACAAAGGTGTGAAGTTTAGGGCCTAAATTAAAGTGAAATTAATAATGCCTCATTTTGGACGTAATTTAAGGTTTACCATATAAAAGCCCAAAAAGTTTAGGCAAAGTTGAGGTGGGCGGAAGAGATTAGGGCAAATCTGTGTGCGACAAATATTTTCCCCAGAAAAAAAGAAGAAGCAGTTCCGTAGTGATGTTGAGTTGGGTATATGTTTGTTGGTTCATAATGAAAATTTTATGCAACAAGAACATGAGAAAAAGAAACCAAAAAGGGTTTGAAGTAAATGGGTTTTAAAGCAATTGATATTGACTGGCAGCTACTTTAGGAAGCAGTGGAGGAAGAAGGCAAAAAAGAAAAAACCTTTTATTTTTTATTTTCCTTTTAAGAAAAAGGAGAGAATGGCCTAATACATTTCCCACTCTCAAACACTCGAACGAAAAAGCTTTGATTTTTGTAGTAAATGATTATTAAAGTTGTTGCTTTTCATTATTTATTAATGCCCTGTAGTGCCTTGTCTTTTCTTTTTTATATTAATATTTAATATTAACAACTAAAATAAATTTAAATTAAGAACCCATTTATAATAAATTGAACTATGGTTGATTTTATTTGAACGAATGATGCATAGATTTGGATAATGGATCACCTAGATTGGTATCAACAAATCTAGCCAAGAATATTTGTGTCAATCCATGATACCTAAAGCAAATCATGTATGACAAAAAGTGATTGTACCATTCTGGAATGAAGTTTTACATTAATAACTCAGCTTACGAGTATCAATCTAAGAACTCAGCATAAAGTAAAACCACAGGCATATACATGAAAGAACAAGCTGCATTAAAAGATTCAAAGAACAAGCTGCATTATTACCATAACCACTACAATACTACGTTTTTTTTTTCTTTTTTCTTTCCTTTTTTGGGCAGAATGAGACTCTACAGATTGGAACACAATCAGTCCAGGAATTACCACAATATAAACAGCTGATTATGTAAAAACTTCCATTCTCTCTTTTTCCTACTTCTATCTACCCGTTTTTCCCAAGTGTGTACCGTGTTGTGCCTACGTTATGGAGCCATCAATCTCTAATGGCACAGAACTGTGGCTTTCATTCATCACCTCACCAACATCACCAACGTCGCCAACAATCCTAAACTCAGACTACCTGCTTTGGATCCCGAGCAGCTGCAATATGCTCCTACAAAATACATCGTAATGCTATCAGTATCAGACTGCAGGGCATACAGCTACTAAAATCAACAAAGAGTTGGAAGAAATGAAACTTACTGAGATAAAATCAAAAGCTCTGGTATCTTCTTTCTTTGAACTATTCATCACGGAACTAGATGGCTGTGTTGCAAGATTTGGCTGGAATATGTCAGGAAGGGGAGAAGAATATCCTCCATTACCCGCACTTCCACCACTCGATTGGAGATGAGGGTTCCCAAACTGTTGGGAATTGGACATGGCTGATGGTAAATTTTGTTGAGCAAAGAAGTTTCCTGTGGGAGCATAACCCATTGGCTGAGATGAAAAGGCTGGATTGAACATCATGCCGGACGGAAGATATGTCCTTCCAGGGAAGAGGGCAGCATTCATATTTGTCCCAACCATTGGTGAACTGTATATGCCATTTACAGAAGAATCTTTAGTCTGATACTGATGGTTTGGCTGTCTGGAAACAGAATATAAAGATTCAGACAGTGAATCCTTGGAATCTCCTATATCATTACTCTTCAAGCCATCTTCATGGATGGACAAACCACTCATTAACTCATTAACATCTTTCCTTGTGTGTTCTTGTACTGCAGCTTCAGAACTTGATCCAAAAACATCAAAAACTCCATGTTCATTTTTCTGTTCCGAGGCAGGCCTTTTACTTTCATTACTAACCTGACTATTATCGACGATCATCCCAGAAAAAAGATCATCTGGATTTTCTCCATCATCAGTTGTCTGAAAAGAGACATCTGAAAATGGGTCATCATCATTCTTTAGTTCGCTGGTGCTTGTGATGGTGTTTACGCCATCTCCAAATAAGTCGTCTACTAATGGAGTTTTCGACAGGTTTTCAACCTCTAAAACACCTGCATCACTTGTGTCTATTAAGTCTGGCATCTGAATAGTGGAACTGGGGTTGTTTGGAAGGGACTTTTCAGAAGCATTCATGGAGGGGACTCCTTTTCCTCCATCTAAAAGTGGCATAACCTGCCCAAAGAGTCGAGGGACAAAATTATATCATTTCGGGATAAGAACCCAAAGTTGAGAATACATTACTTTTTGATCCATCACATGTTTTTCAAGCTTACAATATGCTACATAAAAATCTAAATAATGAATTTATTCAGCAATTTCATCAACTTTCGTTTGCAGATAGACTGATGATTTACCTTGCTAGCTTTTTCCCTAAGAGATGCTTGGGGAGATTCAGAACATCCAATCACTGCATCTTGATTTTCACTGAAATACGATGCCACAATTGAAAAATGATCGTCATCATTTTTCCTAACGATCGACTCAAGGACGCAGAGAGCTTTGAAACGAACCTGAAGAATGAAATTCTCATCAAAACAGGTTGAGTGACATTGATACAAAATCAACCGTCATTATTCAATCCTAAACAGAAAGCCTGGATCATAGAAAAAAATATTAACAGCAAGAACATGCCTGCCATGATGGGGATTTAAGCTTTGATTCAAGAGCACTACTCAGCGCCATTGCATCTAACTTTGCAGCTTCCACAAGAAATGCTTGAATGGCATCTCGAGTTGGTTGTATGCGCACACCACCTGCTGTTGCAATGGTCTCCAGTAACCTCTCTTCTCGAGTTTTTCTCTCCGAAGACCCAGAACTCAGGTTCCCATTAGTAGCTTCCACCTTATTTGCCCAAGAATCCGGGTTCCACGGTCCACTAATCGTACTCTTTGATGTCCCGAGAGTCTCACGGCCATATTCAACTGGTTCATATCTATTGTCATACTCCATTTCAGTCGTCAATGACCTCTGAAGATTGGGACCCCTGTGGCCACTAGTGCCATTCTTTCTCGATGAATGACCTTGTGCAAGATTACTTAATCCTTGCTTGATTGATGCACTTCCTAAACCAACTACCTCGCTAAGAAATGATTTTTTATCTTCTGCTGGTGGTTCATAATTTGAGTTCCCAAAACCTTGAATTCGACTGTTAAGATTCTCAGATGGTGCAGGCCTGTTGTCCTCTTCAGCAAAGATCGCAGAAATGGCGTCCTGAGCAGTATCCCTCACAGCTTTATTAAGTGCATCACCTTTAAGGGGGTCTGGTTGTCCCTTGTAATGAAGTAACTGGCGGACAGCCACAGAGTGTCTCTGCATTTCCCTTCTGAATTCCACACCAGATTTCCCAACTCCATACTTGATCAACCTGAGAGCCTGTAGTGAAATCAAAGCATAAATCCAAAATTTTCAAAAACAAGAACCATACATAATAGAAGTCATTCAACTGAAAAAACTCGTGTTCTTGGTGTTCTTGTGTTCATTCTTCCATCAACATTTGAACAGTATCAAATTTAAAAACCAAAGAAGAATCAGAGAACAAAAGTCCTAACTGCAGGGATCAAAAATCCTACTCGCTCATAACATATCTACCAATTAAGTTGAAAACTAACACGAGAGAAATCAGAACAAGCAAAAAGAAAAAAATTATATACACCTTCTGTTTGACAATCGGGCTCTTATGTTCAAGCCTCTTCAAGATAAATTCCGAAAATTCCTTGACAATACTGACATGCGAAGATCTCAACACTTCACAAATCTCTTCCAATTTGTACACCGGCGTGACCTTATCCTCATCCGAAGTCGCCGCATCGATCATTCGCGACCTCCAGTACGACTCTACAGCTCTCCGACTCGAATCCATATTGACCAACGAAAATCACCAACTCAAAAACAATCGCTTCAGATCCGATCCACCCTAAACCAATCCCACCCCTGATCCAAATCCCAGAAACCAAAGAAATGCAGGAACCCTTTGGCTTAGTCGATGTTTTCCTTGTTCTCCAAGCAGTCTCGCCGCGCAAACCAACTCAGATTCGTCTGGAATTGAAACTTTTGCAGCTCCCAATTCAGGCGATCTTTGTCTGGAGATCGTCAAGGGGTAGACGTGAAACGTAATTGGGTATCGGAATTGAGGTCCTAGCAATCTGAAGAGGGAAAAAAATGGCGGAAAATTGGAGGAATTTTGGTTTCACCCTGTCCGTGAAGGTGACGACCACATGTCGGCCCACAGTTGAAACTCACGTTTACAATGCCACCTGCAAATTGCGATTAATTCTTCTAGATTTTTCCTTCTGAAATAATAAAAGTCTAATTTTTCCCTCTTTTATTTTCCCTCTCTTTTAGTCCTTCGATACAAATATATATATATATATATACACACATACAAACAAGTGTGAAATTAAATTTTTAATCTCTTAAAAAGGTCAAATTTAGTTTATATGGTTTTAAGCAATGGGTTGAATTACCCATTTAATTCACTCCATTGTCAAGAAAAAAAGAAAAAAAAAAGTAAAAAATTAATTTACCCCTGTTGTTCAGTTGCTCAAAAAAGGGAAGGAGATGAAGCCATGGCAAGCCCAAGATTCCAAGCGCCAAGCAAACTCTTCGTTAAGAACTCGACCATAGCAACACCAGCATGAGCTTCGACACTATGAGAGTTCAATCCTCAACCCCTCAAAGCCCCACTTCCAATCGGAGGCTCGAGCGTGCCTTCTCTTCTCGCAGAGCCCCTCATCACAGCGGCGATTTTGATGACGACGATGACCATGATGTTTCCAAGACGAAGAAGAACAGATTTTCCTTATTCACTCACCGCCTTTCCATTTACTTCACTCGAATCGGACCCATTTGGGCCTGCCTTGCGCTCGTTGGTTTAATCCTTCTCATGATTTCGTCCTTGATATTCTTTCACTCCCGCAGATTTGTTTGCGTTTCGTCTTATGATCCTGTTTCCCGCTCTGGGTTCTTTGGCATGGATGGGCTCGATTCCGATTTCGGTTCTCTTGGTGTGCCCTGGTGTAAGTTTTCTTGCTTATCACTTTTGGATCTGATCCATTGTAGTTCTCTGGAAATGTTGAGTTTTAGATCCGTGTTCCGGGTTTATGGCGGTCTGTATGTAATGGAAAAAAATGGAGAAGAACTATCGTTAATTTGTTTTGGGTATGATGAATTGGTTATATCGAAAACGGGGCGTCGTTTATAGAATTGAATCTGTGTATCGTAGTTTAAATTTGTTTCGTATCAGTCGAGCTTTTCCTAATTTGGAACATTAAATATTTTCTTTACTCAATCTTGGACCGTCTATTGTGGCCTTAGCATTGATCCGTTCCTCGAGTAATGGCTAGGCTATTGTTGAACAACCTTTAATTTCAAGTTATGTGATGAAAGTGAAGAGTCAAGGCAATATTTAATAATGTTAGATTTGTTGGTTTACGATTAAGATGCCTTATAAATGAACTACTATTCTCATTGACTTCACAGTCCTGGGTTCTAGTTCTAGTCTGATTAAATGTTATGAAATTCCTAAAAATTTTGCTTGTTTGAATCCTTATAATCCCATCCTTGGCAAAAGGCAGATCGAAACATGGAAAGACAGTTGAATGGACTGCAAAAGATTTACTAAAGGGCTTGGAAGAGTTTGTACCAATTTATGAGACTCGACCAATAAAGAACAACCTGTTTGGTATGGGCTTTGATCATAGCTTTGGCCTTTGGTTCATTGCTCGTTGGCTAAAACCAGATTTGATGATCGAAAGTGGCGCATTCAAGGGACATTCAACTTGGGTGTTGCGGCAAGCAATGCCAGACACACCGATTATTTCACTCTCACCCCGTCACCCCGAAAAATACTTGAAGAAGGGACCTGCTTACGTTGATGCTAACTGCACATATTTTGCTGGAAAAGACTTTGTAGATTTTGGAAGTATTTCCTGGAATAGTGTGATGAAGCAACATGGAATCAATGATCTTAGCCATGTCCTTGTATTTTTCGACGACCATCAGAATGAATTAAAGAGGTATCCTTGAGTTTCATTGCAATCAATTATTTTTGTTCACCATCTATTTATACACTCTATTATGCTGAAAATTTGTCTTGTAATTTGAGGGCAGAATAAGTCAGGCTCTGAAAGCTGGCTTTCAACACCTTGTTTTTGAGGATAACTACGATACTGGCACAGGAGATCACTATTCTTTAAGGCAGATGTGCGATCAGTTCTATATTAGAGGTGCCAGCTCTTCCACTTGTATCTCATTCCACTTTGCTTTGTTTTTATACTCTATGAATATTCCTAGGTAAAAAGACAACACAATTTGTTATTCCCACCATCTATTTGGCTAATCAGATAATGGTTGTCTCATTAAGTGCCTTCCTTAATACAAAGAAACTGAAACCTAATGAGAAATTTAGAACGGATTTATGTGATCCTCATAATAGGTAACCACCACCGCTAGTAGATATTGTCCTCTTTGGACTTTCTCTTTTGGGCTTCCCCTCAAGGTTTTAAAACGCGTCTCTTCCCCTCAAGGTTTTTGAACTTTCCCTTATGGGCTTCCCCATTACGCGTCTACTAGGGGAGGTGTTCACACCCTTATAAGGAATGCTTTGTTCTCCTCTCCAACCGATGTGGGATCTCACAATCCACCACCCTTGGGGGCCAGTGTCCTCGCTGGCACACTTCCTGGAACCTAACTTTGGTACCGTTTGTAACGGTTCAAGCCCACCGCTAGTAGATATTGTTCTCTTTGGGCTTTCTCTCAAGGTTTTTAAAATGTGTCTTTCAGAGTTACAAAGTGGAACCAATACTCATCCAAGTACTGTCTTCTTTGGGTTTTTCCTTTCGGACTTCCCCTCAAGGTTTTTAAAATGCGTCTTTCAAAGTTACACAACAAAACGAATACTCATCCAAATATTGTTCTCTTTAGGCTTTCCCTTTTGAGCTTCCCCTCAAGGTTTTTGAGCTTTCCTGTATGGGCTTTCCCATTAGGCATCTACTATGGAGAGGGTCTAGCCCTACTCCAACCAGTGCCTCGCACCGTCCGGTGACTGTCTTTGATACCATTTGTAACAGCCCAAACCCACTGCTAGCAGATACTGTCTTTGGGTTTTCCCTTTATGGCTTCCCCTTAAAACCATGTCTCTTCCCCACACTCTTATCAGGAATGTTTTGTTCCTCTCTACAACTAATGTGAGATCTCACGTAAAATATTTTTAAGGGCATAATAAAGTCAAAATTATATTCCAATGCTACTTCCAATGATTTGAAAGTGATTCTGCGAGTCTGTGACAATTTAAGTTGAGAAGTTAATTTCAATGCTTGTATATTTCTGATTTAGGAGGTGGGCACAGTTGCTTCAAGGACAGCGATGAAGCTAGAATCAGAGCAAAAAGGAAGTTGTTCTGGGAAAAGGCAGTGGATGTAGAAGAACTTTGTGGACCGTATGAGGCTTGGTGGGGTGTCCGAGGCTACATGCGTGATGATTTTAACCACAGCAATAGGGCTATCTCCCACGCAGAGCACCTCCAGAACAGCAGGTACTTGGAGTCGATTCTTGATGTGTATTGGGAGCTCCCTCCAGTTGCTGGCCCTTCTTTAACACATCAGACTAGATACGATCCTGCTCGTGTTTCGAGCCCTATTGTGGAAGATGGCAGGTATGGTTTGTTCCAGCGACTTGGTTTAACTCGACTTGAGACTTCTGTATTTAATGGATACACACAAATGGTCTATATTCAGATATCTAAACAATAGTTGTTAGGCATTTTACTCTACTTGTCAATAGCTTGTAGTCTTTCTTCCTATACCACACCGTTATTCAAATTTTTGAGTCAATTAAGGGACAAATGCTTTGTGTTCAAACATATTCCTAGTGGTTTTGTTGGTGGCAGTTTTATATATTGTCCACACTCAGATCCCTTGCTTGTCTTATCTCGCACTGTTGTAGCATATCGGACCTCAATTGAGTTTAGCAAACTGTTTTCCCCTTCTGTGAATATATGAATAAGACCTATGGCTATGAGCAATCTTTGGATAGAGGTTGATAGGACAACTGGATCGTGTTTCGTGTTTCGTGTTTCGTGTTTGTGCAACCGCAGCCGAATTAGCTAAGAGAGCTCTGCCAAGAAAAATACATAAATTCATTTGATTCAGAAGATATTGGAATGAGAACCATAAATCAGGCATACAAAATCAGATTTCTCTACTTAGCAGGAAAAAGTCCCCTAGAAACAACTTTTCAGGGGCTTAAAAATAGTTTTTCAAATTTATAATTATCTATTTTTAAAATTTATAATTAGGACAAAGTGGTGATTTTGAATCTCTTGGATTTTACGTTATAGCATCTATACTCGGACTCAGCATATCCAAGAAAGAAAGCAGCATATCCAAGAAAGAAAGAAAGGCTTAAATGAAAGGAGCGGCAAGAGTCTTTCACAAATTCGAGCAGGGAAACGCGGGATGGAAGGCAGGCGGAAAAAGCTTCACTCCATAACTTTTTTACCGAGGTGAATATGAAGAAATCGGTATAAATTAAGTTGTTCGATTGTCCTAATAATTTTATACCATAATGATTATATACCTCTACAATTACATGTTAATGTCAAATAGTTGGTGCGGACCTTTTGATTCATTTAATAAATTTATAGTTTATACTTTGCTTAACAAAATAATTGTTAATAAAATACGAGAATTCTCTATATAATAGGAGATGATAGTGAATTTAACTCAAGTATATACCTATAGTCGTAAATAATTATTAATACCGTCCTGAAACAATTAATGAATTTTAAATGAATACCAAACTCATTTTTTAATGGTTAAAAGTGAATATAATTTAACAGAAATCAAATATACTCTTAATTTCATTTGATTTGATTGAGAGGTTAAAGATGGCGTCATATTTTTCCCAATTTGCCACATTTATTTTATTTTGAGGAAAAAAATAGTTGGACCGTGTTTGGAGCGGAGGATCCAATTTCTGCTGCCCGTGAAAATAAGGGCACACAGACCCAAGCGGAGCTGATTGATGAGGTAGCGGTTGCTCCGCGTTTGGCGTTCTGTACGAGAACAGAGCGTCGCTCTTTACCAATCCCTCCTCTTCGTCTCCACATACTCTCCCGCCATTAACAGCGCCACGGACCTCTCCCTTCTTCGCTTCTCGCTGCAACTCATCGATTTGTCATGGTCATACAATCCTTAGCTGCAGCTTCCGCCGGCTCCTCCTCTTCGTCTTCGCCTTCCACCAGCACCTCCCATCTTTCTCCACCTCCTCAAGATGCATGGAGTCTTGCTTATCAGCGACTACTTCCTCGCTGGAAATCTCTTTCCCAGTCTCACTTGGTACCTTCATCCCTCTCTCTTTGTCTCGCGCCGAGCCTAGTTTTGTCTGCTTATTTGTTGCCTTTTTTATTTGTTCATAGTTGCCTTTTGATTCTGTGGAGTAGGTCTTTTTGTCCGTTCGTTTCTATGTATATACTAGAGTTTGTTTCTAATTAATAGCTTTACCGAAGATCATTTCTGACACATGGTTGGGAAAGATTGCATTCGCGTTAATTGAGCTTCACTTTCTGTTTGTTTCGTTGTCCAAGCCATGCGAGAGTTAAATTTTCTTCTACTTGCACCTTGAACAGTATATTTATTGTAATTTTATGTTGGTTGATACATCTGTACTAATTTATGATACTGGAGTCTTTTTTTTCTTTTTCTTTTCTATCTGTTCTGCAGTCGCCAATTCCAATTTCGATATCGAAAGTTAATCAAGTGGATGCGGCGCGGCTAGATATTGAAATGTCAGCCATGTTGAAAGAGCAGTTGGTTAAGGTCTTCGCTTTGATGAAGGTATAAGTTGCTTGTTATTCGGGCATTGAGATGTAGATACTTGGCTAGTAAAGCTATTTAGGTGTCATAAAGTATTTTCTTCTATTTTGATGGATTAGCCAGGAATGTTGTTTCAATATGAAGCAGAGCTTGATGCTTTTCTGGAGTTCCTTATTTGGCGCTTTTCAATTTGGGTAGACAAGCCCACACCAGGAATTGCTCTGATGAATCTGCGGTATAGAGATGAGCGTGCAATGGAAATTCCGGGAAAAGGTGAAATGATCTAAACAGCTCCCTGCCATGCTCTACTTGTTTAACTGATTGTTACGGTCAGTACGGTGTAGGAATGTAATTGAATTTATCCAAACTGACATGTAAAATAAATAATTATAAATTGAGTATGAAGTTGAGAATTAAAACTGTAGCAACCATGGAACTGCTGTTGTCAAATCTTCATAGCAATGTGTGGCAGTCACTTACTAATTCCTTTATTGAAAACTATAATCAATTTTTTCTGGCTCTGGACTTCTCTGCAATACAGTCAGAACTGGATTGGAAGGACCTGGCCTCACAGTTGCTCAAAAGATTTGGTATTGCGTGGCCACTGTGGGTGGTCAATACATTTGGACTCGGTTACAATCATTTTCTGCTTTTCGTAGATGGGGAGATTCAGAGCAGGTACTGGTTTTCAGAAACTCACCACCCCTAACAATGTGGACTACCTTCTTGTTGTGCTGGTATTGTTGTCGAATGAAATAGGCATTCTTATGTCCCTGTATTTTTTTCAGAGGTCCTTGGCGAGGCAAGCATGGCTTTTGATTCAGCGCATTGAAGGAATATACAAAGCTGCTGCATTTGGCAACTTGCTCATATTTCTTTACACAGGAAGGTAGGTTTTCTGCATCTGATAAGCCGGATTAGAGTATTGATATCAAGATTTCAAATTTTCACATACCTTGATGAATATTTTTGTGAATAATTTTTTTTATTTAAATTATTTAAATTAATAATTAAGTTTTTCCCCTTTTTTCTTAACTTTGAAACTAAGTCATAGATCTTGTTATCAATGTTTTAAAAGGCTTAAGGCGGGCCTTGGGGCATGAGGTGGTATGAGGCATAAGCCTTATTTTAAATTTAAAAAATGTACATAAAACATAAAGCATTATATGCTCCTAACGATATAATATTTCTTAATGAACCTGACATACTAAATGTTCAATAACTAATGCGTAATAGTAGCAAGAACTAAAAACCAATTAGACATTTGGGAAATAAAAAGTCTTCTTCAAAAGAAAATAATGAATAATAGTAGTAGGTAGCTAGTTATAACCATTAAGAAAGATAACTTTAGGCGGGAAAACAGATCAGAACATATAAATAACTGCTAATAAAAAGAAGAAAACAGAAAAAAATTGGAAGGATAATTATTCAACTAATATTAAGAAAGAAAACGAAGAAGACAATCAAATGGGAAAGAAAATAATATTCAAGATTCAAATATAGTGGAAAAAAAAAAAGCAAAATAGAACGGAAAGAAAAATAATAATCGAAATTCAGAAGAAAACAGAACAAAAGAAAAGAAAAGAAAGTCGAACAAACAAAGAACAAAATGAAAACGGAAGTAGTAAGAAAAAATATTAAACTCGCTATGCAAGTGAACAAATAAAACAAAAACAAGAACAACAAGATGAAGAAGAATGAAACTCGCTTTTGTTGTGCTGCGTTTTCGTTAAATAGTGATTCCTTGCAGTTTTTTTTTCTTTGCGTTATGTTCACTTCAAATAACACATACACAAAAAGGAAAAGCTTTCAAGTATTTTGTTTCCCAAGTACAGTTCTTTATGTTTTCTTCAATATTCTCGCATGGCCAACCACCATAAATTAGTATGAAGACATCACCAACTTCAATTAAATGCACCGTTGGATGATGCATTGCATGGGCACTTGGCCCACCAACCAATATCCAAATGGCTTACGCATTGTAGCCTTTGAGACTTACGCCTCTCTCGACAGAGGCGCGCAAGCCTCATATTACACTCTCAAGGCGTAAGCCTTAAAGCATGAATCTGCCGCATCACCTTGAGGAGCGCCTCAAGATTTATTCCGTGACCGATTTTTAAAACATGGCCTGTTATTAGTTTTTATATTTATATTGTGATTGTATATAAAAGATATTAGAGATATCGATTAATCTTCAATATTGATGTTGAACTCTCCAATTTACGGAAATATCATCATAATAATGGTTGACGGATATTTTCATCCTTGCTGATAAGTTAACTTTTCAGTGAACTGTTATACTCTGAGCGGCTTGAAGTGATTATTTGTTAAATATTAATGCTAAAAGGGCATTTTCGAAAGAATCTGCCCAAGTAAAAAGCATACTTACCTGTGTCAAATGACATCTCTTCAACTATTATGTTTCAGTTTGCAGTTTAGAAGTTTATGTCAGTAGAAACAAAAGAATGGATGCTTCATTTTTATTTATCATTTAAAAATTAATATTTAATGCATCTGCTAATGTATAGGGAGCGTTGAGTTATTTTGTCATCAATCTGAATTGGTATTTTGCAGATACATCTGACTGCACCACTTTTCACTCTTGCTGAATCTTGTGCATTGTTGGTTGTCACATATGCTTTTCACTCAGTTGTATTGGTTCTATTGTTGTAAGTTTTTGTGTAGTGGAACTCAAATAAAAATTGGTGGCTTGTCGACTATCATAAGTAGTTTACTTTCTGCCCAACTCAGCATCGTATTTTTTGTGTGGTGCAGGTATAGAAATCTTGTCGAGAGAGTTCTCAGAGCCAGGCTTGTTTATGGGAGTCCTAATATGAACAGGGCTGTCAGCTTTGAGTATATGAATCGCCAGTTAGTGTGGAATGAATTCTCGGTAATTTTCTGTCCTTTATATTTAGTTGCAGAAGTATTGGAACTCTTATTTTGGCTTAGAACTTATTCACTTATTGCTTCATTTCAACGAAATATATTCTTGGAATGTGCTATTGTTCTTAACCATATGATTATTAGCTCACGCTCTTCCCTTTCCTCCTCCTGAAGTAGAATTCTATTTCAAGTCGAGCATGGTATATATTCTCAGATTGTGTGCTGTTTTAAGTTTAGCATGGAAAAACTGTGTGTTTGACGAAAGTTATCATCTAGATAGAATTCAAATCAACTACAAGTTTCAAGTGGTTCATATAGGATATTCATTTGGTTTACAGTGATTAATATCGTCTACTATACTCATGCGTGCATGAATATGGGAAGGGTTTCAATTTTCTTTTTCCCAATGCTTGATCACAATTTTATTATCCATAGTAGGGAACATTTGCCCTCGAGAATTTATTTTTCTGTGCTAATGGCAGGAAATGTTGCTGTTGCTTCTTCCTCTTCTAAATTCTTCCTCTGTTAGAAACTTTCTTCGTCCATTTTCCAAGGAGAAGTCCTCAAGCTCAGCCGAGGATGACAGTGCTTGTCCAATTTGCCTGGCAAGTCCTACGATTCCATTTCTGGCTTTACCTTGTCAACACAGGTCAGGCCTTTTTATCACATCACTCTATCTTTTAAACCAAAAAACTACTATTTGTTATATAAAAAAGGCAGAAACTCAACGATAGAATTAGGATGCATTTGTTCGAAAGACAGACAAAACAAGGAGGATACGTGACGATAGAATTATTTCTTTAATGAATATAGCTTGGACGTGCATATTACAGATTTCGTTCAAAAACAAAAAATTGACTATGGTAATAAAATAAACGTTGTAAATATAACAACGTTGATTGATGTAATTAGTTCTAAATGTTAAAACTTCGCAAAGTGAAAGTATATGCGCTAACCAAATAAACAAATTTTAAATAATTCAATGTCTACTTTAAGTTTTGTAATGAAAATTCCAGAGAGATTTATGTCCATACGATCATATATTTAAAATAGAAACATGAGAAACAAGTCTATTTCGCATTCATCATCTTTCACCAATTTTTGAGTTGTTTCGACAGTCCAGGCTTTTTATGTTCACAATTAGATATTGAAAAGAACAACAGAATATTTGATTTAAGATTTAAGATTCTGATTTAACTGTCGGTTATTGTCGACCAACGCTCGTAGACAAAGATGGCTGCATTTCATGTCTATATAATTGTTTACATTGAATCTCACAGGTCTATAATTGTCTATATAAAAGTATTACTAACGTCCATTGGTTTTTTATTTTCTGACAGATACTGTTACTATTGCCTCCGAACACGATGCATGGCAGCTCAATCATTTAGATGTTCAAGATGCAGCGAGCCTGTGGTGGCCATGCAGCGGTATGTCGAAGGCACTAGTGCAAATCCCAAACGGTAATCCCTGGGCAGAGGAAGCAAATACAATTTATAGTGATTATAATAAGAAAAAGGAAAATTGCTTCAATGTTGCAATTAATTTTTTTTGTTGCTTGAAGCATAAATGCTTACAGAAAATCAAATTCCCTGGAAAAGCATATGTTGTATTGTGTAGTAGCCGTAGGGGGGCTCATTCTTTTTTAGTTTCCTAGTACATCTGTAGTATAGGTACTCGCTGATTATCTTGTGATTAATTCCCTGCAGTTACAAGAGGAAACATTATGCTGTCTTTCTTTCTTTCTTTCTTTTTCCTTTTTATCTTATAAAAGGCACAAAGAGAGGTAGGAGAGTATTTCAACCCAAGATAGAAATTTATATATTTTCAGTTCCGACCATGGTTTAACTAGTTTAGTCATGTACCCTCAACAAAGAGGTTAGATGTTTGAAGCCTCCTCAAAACATGTTCTGGAACTTGAAATCTTGTGCCATCCCTAGTCGATAATAAATCTTGTCGTGTTTGTTTGGTATAAAATCAATCTTGTCGTCTTTTTTGTTTGGTATAAAATCAATCTTGCCTGTGTAAACTTTATAATGATAAACTTGCTTAAACTTTTGTGCAAGTTTAATTCTAGTTTTGTTGTTCGCCTATAATTATATTAACCTGTTTTATTGATCCTCTTCTGTAGTTCTGTTTCTATAGTCTGTATAACAGGGCAATTGGACCATTTAGACGGTGTAGATTGAAAATCAACACTTACTGACTTCTTTGGATAAATCTTGGAATGAGTCTAATCATCAACAACTTTAGAATATTGGATTGATGATGTTTGAAACATTGGTGACAGTGGTTGCACTTTCAAAACATGTAATAATGGTAGTTGTGCACTTTCCACGCTTGTTTATTTTTTTCTCAGGACTAGGTGGTCACTTTCCCACGGAAGAGTAGTCTTATCTTAATTTCTTTATTTCCTTGATATTATTTAGTGCTAATTACATAGATAGGCGGGAGAATATTACATAGTTCAGTAGATATGATATTAATTATTATCTTTGATTCAATAATTTTACACTTTCATATATATACTTATTTAATTAAATGGGTTTTATTAGAGTGAATTTTTGTTTCTTTCTCCTATTCTTTTCTACTAAATAAAGAGGAATATGATAATTTTTTATACAAATTGTTTAAAATAAACTTAAAAGTTAAAGACATCTAGATTTTTCAATCTTAAGTTTGCTAAACATCCTTATTACAAATTATGGATATAATTTTATTTATTTATTATTATTATTTTTTAGGCGCGGAAGGGAGCGGGTATATTGGTTTTTTCCAACGGCCCTCTTTTAATTTCGACTAAAAGTCATATAGATTGGTCATTTGGCTATTTTTCTACAATAATAAAAAACCAAAATTGTCATTACTTTATTTTCTAAAAAAATAAATCTTATTTGTTAAATGAACAGAGCTACCACCTTTGGTATAAAAGGAAAAAAAAAAAAAAAAAAAAAAAGTTCTTTTGCACGCCAATCTATGACGATTTCAATCATTAAGATGTAGAAAAAAAATACCACATCATTTATTTGAATTAATTACCTTTTTAATATAATAGTAAATGTTTAGTGGACTTAATCAATGACATTCATCACATATTTCGAGAGTTTATGATTTTTTTTATTCCCTAATATCTGCATCAATTGTTTTCTTTCCCAATTTTTAAACCTACTAATAAAAAAACCCCAAATCATACCAAAATATTAAAAAAAAAAAAAAAAAAAGGACCAAAATTGACGTCATGTACGATCAAATAATAAAATACTTGTTAGCCGATCATTTTAAAAATAGCATCTTTTTAGTTTTAAAAAAGAAGGTAGAATTTGTATTAACCTATAAAACTTCACCACACAATTAATAATATTAGCATATTAATCATATAACTTACATAATAAAAAAATAATAATTAGATATTTATATATATAATAAATAAAATAAATATTCATACAGCTAATGTTATAATTATAATTTCGTCCAATATTCGTACTTGTCTAATTCTATTTTATGCTCTTTTAATTTAAAATTTCAAGACACAAATTCATAAGTTGAAAGACAAGCGTGACGTCATTTATCACATCATTCACATAAATTAATTGGTAAATATTTAAAAGATTAAATAAACATTAAAAATATAGGGATGACATTCATCAATCTCAAGGACATTCCCATGGCCTTCCATTTCTCCTCCTCCATTATTTTATTAATCCACTTAGATCTTGCACCACACACACATTATATTATATTCTAAATTAATGTGTGATTATTACAGAAATATATACTAAGTAGTAGTACATAAACTATATGCCTATATACCAAACCCTAACATATACTGAGTTTTCTTTTTCGGGTAACATGATTTGCACTATTAGTGGGAATTCCCAAGTTGGTCAGTTGTCATCATTAAACCCCGCTAGTAGATATAGTCGTTAGTCTCACAGTTTAAAGACGTGTCTACTAGGAAAATAGTTCCACACCCTTACAAAAAAAAATATTTATTTAAAAAATTGTATTTTTTATAATTTAAAAAAAAAAAGAAATTCAAGTAAAACATATATTTAATCAATATAGTAAATCTAAAACCCTAAATCCAAAAAATTCCCCAAAATCTTGAAGTTTTGTCATTTTAGGTCCTAAAAAAACTCATGAAGTTTAATGAACTGAAAAAAACAGCCCACCAGCTTTTTGAGGCTATAGCTTTATACAAAAGCAAAGGGAAAATGTATAGAAATTTAAGAAGAGAATAGGATTATTATAAATTAGCAGACCCAGTTCTTGTTTGGAGTATCTACAAGGAAATAAATACATCACAAAGTATTGATGTAATAAAGCAGCTCACAAAGTAAAGTTGTTCCCTTTTCTTTTCTTTTCTTTCTAAGTATTGTTTTTGTTTCAGGTGGGTTTGATTCTCTTTGAAAGCATAAACTCAAGAAAAAGCTGATATTGTGAGGAGGGAATTTTTGTTTGAAAGCAAATGATGGGTGGAAACCCTAGTAATTGGTGGAACATGTTTCCACCTAATTCTCTTCCTCCTCCTCCTCCTCCTCCTCAGTTTGTTGTTGGATCTTCTTCACCTCCTTTCACTTCCATGGCTGATCATCCCAATCAAGAACATCCCAATTCACAGTCATGGAGCCAACTACTTTTGTAAAACCAAATTCCCTCTACTTCTTCTCTATTTAATGTTCTTTGTGTTCCATGGGATTTTGGTTGAATCTTCTTCACTTTGTGTTTGTTTTCAGAGGTGGATTGCAAGAAGGGGGTGGAGATGGGTTGGTTTTGAATAGTAATTATAATCATTTTCAACCAAAGAAGTTGGATAATTTGGAGGGGAGAATTTTGATTCCGTTTCCAAGATTTGGAGTGGGGGATGATGATGACGATGATCATGTTTTGAAGCAACAAACTTGTTCTCAAAGTGGTAAGAGCTTGTCATTTTTATGGAGTGAAAAGGAATCATGTTCATCATCATCCATATCAGTGAAAGGCTCTCAAACACGACCACCTACTTCTTCTTCTCCTAAATCTTCTGTCAATAGTAATGCCATCTTGGAATTCTCTTTCAACAAACTTGATTCCAATAATCAAATCCCTGATCACACTTATTCATCTGAGGTACAAAAATAACATATTTTCTTCCTTTTTCTTTTGCTCTTTTTCCTTTTAGCTCTATTGGGGTTCTTTTTTTTCCTTAAAAAAAAACAATTTTTTTGTTCCATGATCAAGTGTGTTAGCACAGCTGCCACTGGTGGAGTGTGCAAGAAGCCTAGGGTTCAGCCCGTCTCCGGCCAGCCTCCGATAAAGGTACCCTAATTTAACTTTTGTTTTTCTTGAAATTAGTATTAAAATTCAGTTCTTGTTTGTGATGTGAAGAATCAGGTGAGAAAGGAGAAGGTAGGGGACAGAATCACAGCTCTCCACCAGCTGGTTTCTCCATTCGGAAAGGTAATTAAATAATTAATTAATTAATTAATTAAAAGAAAGGGCATAGGTTTAAAGATGATGGGGGGGTTTCTGAACTCTCTTCTTCACTTCAAAAAAACCTTATTTCCAGTTTGTTATTGGTATTTTGTTGTTGTTCATAACCTTAAAAGAATACCTCCCCATGTTGTGGTGTTTTTTTTGTTCCTTTTTTTGTGTGTTTTGCAGACTGACACTGCTTCTGTCTTGTCAGAGGCTATTGGGTATGTTAGATTCCTTCACAATCAAATTGAGGTCAAGTTCTATACATACCTAACTTCTTCATTCTTTTTTATTCTGCTCCATTTTTCTGAATATAATAATGCTTCTTCTTCTTCTTCTTCTTCTCCCAAGCTTTGATTTTTATTTCACTTTTTTTCTTTGTTTATATTTCAGGCTCTCATCTCTCCATATTTAGGCAATAATTCATCAGAACCCACAAGGCCGGATCAACTTGTAAGTGTCTTCTATCCAAAACCCACTTGAAATTTCTCAATTACCAAATACAAAAGTCCCTAAAATTGAAAAAAGTTGAGAACTTTGACCAAAATTCTATCTTTTTGTAAGTATATTGAGAAGACATGAAAACTTGAGAAAAATTGAGAGAATTTGAAGTTGAAAATGGAAGAAAATTTGAATTTCCTGAAGACCCTGCTTAGGTATTATGCTTTATTGGATCTATCAAGTAAACAAAAAAGAGAGAGGGGCTTCAAATGAAAGCATCTAAAAATATTATATATATAAAAATAAAAATAAAAACTGTATTTTATTCATAAAGGAAAGAAATGAAAGAACAAGGTTCTCAGCTTTTCATACAACTTTAGCATTATTTAAAAGTTACCTAAAAGCATTCTTTGTGAATTCCTAATTGTTTTGGAATCATTAAAGGGTTAGCTAAAAATTGCAACTTTTTTATTTTATTTTTATTTTAAAATTTGCTTTCTTGGCCATTGCAGCTCTTCAATGACAGCAGCCTGAAAAGAAAACTACCTCCTACCCAGGTGACCTTTAATCTTTTTTATTTTAGTTCAACAATCTCTTTCTGTAAGTTTATTACCAATTACAAACCCATCATCTCATTATCATATTTAGGAATTATAGGGTTATCAGTTTATTACCACCTACAAACCCATCATTCTCATTATCATATTTAGGATTATAGGCATATGAAATATAGTTAATTTGTTGATTTTTCTTTTACGCATAAAGAATGTCCAGTAGCTTTGACCTAAACCAATTCAACTGTTTTAAAACTAATCTCTTTCACCCAATTTTCAATTGTTCACCCATTAAATTCATTAATTTTTTTAAAAAGGTCGAATATATCGAGAATGTATTAGACATAAAAGTTGAAAGTTCATAAATTTATTACACACGAATATAAAAAAAGTTATGGGGAGTATATTATTGATGAACAGGAAAAGGAAGAAGAAGCAAATGAGTTGAGGAGTAGAGGGCTTTGTTTGGTACCTGTATCTTGTACACAACATGTACAAAGTGACATAAACGGAGCTGATTATTGGGCTCAAGCTTACAATGGCAGCTTCTAAGTCCCTCGCTACCTGCACCCATACAAATCAAACAACTATGCTAATTCCTGCTATCATTTTCTCTATATTTATTATTAGGAATTAATGCTAACTTTTTCCCCTTTCTTTTCAATAAACGTCCTTTAAATTCTTCTTCATTATCTTCCCTATTCCTCTGATAAAATTGTAGTAGCCGAACCAATTGAAATTTTAGTCTCCATTTCCTTCTCTTCTGTCAGTAAAAATATTAAGTTACAATTACTAAGTATGATTGAATTATTGAATGTAGATACCTTTGAACTATTACAAAGTATTAGAGCAATGCTGTATACCAGCCGCTGGCCTCTAAGAGGTAGATTGTGAAATATTACCAAATGAAATACTTAAGTTGGAATGAGAAAACATTTTTATTGAAAACTTCTCCATTTTCATATATATATATATTTTTTTTTGTTTCTGAAAGGTTGATATTTAATCAATAATCCTAAAAAGTTGATAGGTTCACAATATCGACATTTAATTCCTTCTAAATCCTTTTGATTTTGACATTTCAACCCAAAATAAAGAAAAAAGAAAAAACTGGAATATTTTAATCTTCGAATCGAAACCATTCAAACTGATTCCAAAAAATGAATCTGAAAAGGAACACAATCTCAATCACAATCCTGACCACATTATTTTTACGGGGCTACATCTCTGGCAATGATGCCTCAACAACATCACAACAATAGGCAGTGACAACAAAAAAAACATAAGCTACACTACACTGCAACCACCCAATACATGTCCCTTTAAAACAGCCCAATCAGTAAATCTTCATACAGACATACTAACTGTCCCCAGAAAGAAATAAACAATATATTTTGTCATCATGTTACCCTGTGACACTTGCAATAATCTGCAAAGCTCAAATTTGAGGGTAAAATATGTGCAACACCATTTCGCTCAATTCAAATCATAAGAGGACAGATTTGGAATCCTTCTTAATTGTTGAACAAAAAAGAAAAAAAAGAAAAAAAAGAAAAGAAGAGACGTATGTTATATAAACCTGCAGCATTGTGAGTACTCATAAGCATCATCAGCTTTGAAGCTCAGAGAGGTCAAGTTACATAAATAATCAATGAATAGAGAACTTTGAACTGTGATCCATGGCATTTGTGCACTTTCTTTTCATTATATCAAGGCAAAGAAAGAAAAAAAAAAAAAAAAGAAGTGAAAATAGACAAATAATGAATGACCTGAATTGAGGGAAAAAAGACAAGACAGCCCTCAAGAAAATCGATACCATTCTAGAAAGCGATTGGGCGAAAGTTAAGAAGCTGTAAGTTTTGATGCCGTTGTATGATCTTGTAATCACTCCATTTGAACAAGGACATATGCAAGATGATGATAGGAATATTGAATGAATCTGTTTCCTCCCTGAAAAGAAGGTGAGGACGATCAACAGAAATTGATATAGTTGTACAATGTTTCGGAAGGAGAAAAATCAGAAAACCACGAGGGTAGAATATTAGGAGTGTAAATAATTGTGAAACTATTGTCTCTTACCATTTTCAGAGAGAAACAAAGAAGAGGATGATTTGATCCATGTATCAAATACCTCTACACTACTGGTAGAAGTGCCATTTCTATTTCCTGAAGTGATTTTCCTTTTGTTTCCAATACATTCCTCTTCACAAAAATCACTGCTATGAAGCAAAATGTACCGAAAACTGTATATAGGATCTGGACTCCTAATTGCTCCAGTAACGGCAGGAAGAGTAAACCAACAAAAAAATTTATCACCTGTTCATGTCCAACCAGCAAGAATGTGAGACATCTACAAGTTTTCTTTTCCCTTAATTGGCACAACTCTTTTGTGTTCGCATGCGAGGGGAAGACAGAAGAGATGCTCATAAGCAGTGAAGGAAGCACAGGCCAAACCAGAACAAAACATCCAATGAAGTTTTATTACAAGAACAAATACAACAATTCTGTTTCTGTGGGCAAAAAGTAAACTAGTAAAGATGTTTAGCAGTTACCATAAATTTTGATATCTCATAAGAGGATGTCAATCTAATAAATAGTGAACATCTGACAGCTTTTTTTTTTTAATCGAGGTCCAGTTTTTTCCACTTTCAATTATTGTTCCAACTAGGGATTGTAAAGCGAAAATCAGACATGGAAGCAAAGATCAAAAGAAGCACAGCAGATAAATAAAGAAATGAAACTTCCAAACAAAGTCATATCGGTTGAACTGAGAAACGTAGTACCCAATGAACCGACATGCAAAATGCCATTGCTTTTGCTCGAATCTGACCAGGAAATATTTCTGATAGGAGGAGACTAGGAACAGGACCCGCACCAAGAGAATATGTCAGGACAAACCTACATTATCCACCTTGTGTTTGTCAAAACATCTGGTAATAATCTTCTCTTTGAAACATCCGACATTCATTCGTCTAGGTAAGCATTCCAAGTTTATTTGACTATTAAGATGATAATTACTCACAGTAACATGCCACCGGCAGAAAGATAGAATGCTCCAGGGCTGGATGGAAATGAGCTTGCTCCTACCACTTGGAGGCCCATGGACACTGCCTAGAACCAAACACAGTAAGGTCAGAAAAATACAAAACGCTAGTAGAAAGTAAAACCTAATCAAGGGCTCACGTACAAGAAATTTGTATAGGATTTTTAGGTTGACCTAATTTAGTTATACCAGTCTCATACATGTTACAGAAGTAATTTACAACTTTAGTCGGGACCAAATGATGCTATAAAGAGCATAACCATACATCTGTTTTGAATCCTTAACACCCAAAAAGAGTACTATAGAAACATTTCATAACGATACAAAAGAAATAATGCGGGAAAGATATCGTGCGTTTTGAAATTTAGACTCAGTTTCTGCCAAGACATCTATCTAAACCAAAGAGTATTTTTTTTCCCCCCGAAAAGCACTAGAACAATTACCATGCCTGAAAAACTGCCAAGAAGCAGCACCCTTCTTCCAAGTTTATCCATCAGTAGCATTGCAACAATTGTCCCTGAAGGATGAAAATAAATAAAGGCATATACCAGAATAATCTCATAGCTGAACTGGAGATGATCCAGTCAGAGCCGACATACCAAAAAGGTTTGCGACTCCTATGCAAATATTTGCACGATCTGAAGGTATGCCAAAACTTTTGAAGACAGTAGAAGAGAAATAGTAAACAGCATTAATGCCAGAGAGCTGCTGTAAAGCAAAAAGGATTGAACCGATGAAAACCACTGCAAAATTGACATGCAAATGTAATAATTTAGAGAAAGAAAAAGGTTTCATTAGGAGTTAGAAGTATGTGAGAAACTATTAACTGATCAGTGATTACATTGTTTGTACATTTACCTTTGAAATAGCGGCCCTGGAGTAAATCCAATAACGTCACTGCATCAGCGTCATCTACTCTATCAGACTTCGACAATTCTGCATATGCACATTTAACATGTACTCCTCCCAAAAGCTTCTCAAATTCAGCCTCAGCTTCAGCAGTTCTTCCACTCTGAAGCAAATCCAAAAAAGATGGTTAGAGATCGCTTCAGAACATAATCAAGAAATGGTCCACAAACAGGAGAGCATGAAACAAATATATAGATGTGAGTCTGAGATGCTTGACCATCAATTTTGTTACTCATTCAATAGAACTCATGAGGGACCAACGCAGGATTGTAGAAACAGATTATTATTTGAATTTGATTATATAACTTGAATTTACCCTTAAAATTACTGCTTATATTCTGAAATTATATTCTTTTGAGCACCATGAGACGGAGACAGTAAATGGTGTAATTATTGTATCATGTGGTGTCACATGGAACTGATCGACCGATTGAAGCATGCCAGTGGAATGAACAATGAAATGAAGTAGAATAGGAAGATATCAAAGCCTTGGGGTATTTACCAATATAAACAAGAAGGAAGAAAACTGAGAAATAAAAAAAGGTTCCCTAAGTCGGAATTCCTGGCACCAATATGTATATGACTAAAACAAAAGATATGTCACTTAGACATGACATGGTATACCTATGTGGAATTAGTGAGATAAGTGCATGCTTGAAGGAAAGAGAAAGAACCTGTAATTCCCTAAACTTGATTAAACTCAACCAATTTACAATCTAGCACATGAAGAAAGTAAATTCTCAAACACGAGTTGATAACGTCCCAAGAGGCAGTTGAAATTATATATGAGATTATGACCTTGAAAAGCCAATGAGGACTTTCTGCAGAAAATTCCATCAAAAGGGCAAGTAAAGCAGCAGGAATGACAGATACCCAAAAACAAGTCCGCCACCTGAGAAAACCTTCTAGTCAAAAAAGCTGTGTTATCTACTGCTGTTCATAGACAAATTGATGAACTGCCCATGAAACGAAAATTTTGATGTAGTCTTCAACCATGCATTCCCTCGGACATTACTTACCAATCCACTATTCCCTTGGCTTTCAGTCCCATAAATAGGGATCCCAGAAGACCGAGACATAAGGAAATCTGAGTAAGACTCCCAAAAGTTCCTCTTACATAAGCTGGTGATACCTACTCAAAATAAATATGGAATAACTACAAACAAGGCAAACTGAAGGTGGGATACTAATTTTAATTCCAGAGTGTGGCTAGCTGTTCAAACTTATCAAGATATTATGTACCTCAGAAACATAAAGTGATGCAATAGTTGGGCCAAGACCCATCCCCATCCCAACAAATAACCTCCCAAGAAGCATTCCCCAGAGATTTGTTGTGGTTGCACTGCAATCATATTTGTGCAAAAGAAGAAAATTACTGCCGAAACTGAATTAACAGATTGACAGTAATATGATAAGCATGTTTAAAACCTGATATTGGGAGATATTATTGAAATGACCTGAGGGAGGTTAAAAATGTATTAATTGCAAAATTAGAAAACAGTGTACAAGAATCAATATGACGAACAGCACTTGAATCGGTGCCAAATATCAATTACCCATGAGGGTCTATCTAGTACCAGGAGTGAATTACTCAGGAAGATGCTTCACGTAATGCTTACCTCATGGATGCACCAATTATCATTGGTAATGCACATAGCTGCAATGCTCTACGACGCCCTATTCCATCTCCAATCACGCCGCTGAATAGAGATCCAAGAAAGGCGCCACCTAAGGATGTACTTACTACGAGACCTTTATTTAAGGAAAAAACTAGATTACTTTTTTAAAAAAACCAAAAACACAAATAAAAGT